TCTCTTCCCACATTTAGAAAGCAGAAACGAATGATTAACCTCAAGAATCTGTTCTCTCCACAACCCAACAACAAACTAAGCATTCCAAAAAAGTTAATTAAAACACACACACACACACTCAAGAGGGGGAGCTGTGCACGCTGAGGCCATCCTCACCTCTGTCCTTGTTTTTGTGGAAGCGTTTGCACTCCCATGGAAAATTGTATTTGAGGGGAGATATGCAAATCTAATTGGAGCTTCTCTGGCCCTCAGCGATGGCTCAGTGCCATCGTTTTTATTTGGGCAATGAGCACCTCTTTTCAGAGTCTCTCTTCATTGAACATTTTCCGTTGGATCCTTCAAAAATAATGATATTTACCGTCCTATTTTTCCTTGCTAAGTACAAAAGTAGCGATATATGTCATCCAGTTAAAGACGCCATGAATTTTAAGATGTATCCAATTTCAGAGACGTTAACCAGGAAGAAAAATGTGTACCTTGGAATTGATGAACCACGGTGTGTAGTCTATGTAGAGAGTTTACAAACTGTAGGAAAGGGTAAAATGGTTAAGAAAAATACTTCATCATATCACCACCCAGAGATCCTACCAGTCATAACTTTTTAGTCTGATTCCTTCTAGTGTTTCTTTCTATATGTGAGAATATGTTTATTTCTTTTATATAATACTTTGTATCTTGTTTTTCCTTCAATATTCGTATGTCTTGGACATTTTTTTCTTATTCCGGATTCCTTGAAAACTGGGTTATTTGAAAGTGGCCTACATAGGAATCTCCTCCTTTTGGCCATTTAACTCATTCCCAGTGTTTTGATGTCATGCATAAGGCTCCAGGGAACATCTGTGTACACCTCTCTTTATCTGCACCCATGATTATTTCTTTAAAAAAATATTTTTATTGATTTCAGAGAGGAAGGGAGAGGGAGAGGGAGAGGGAGAGGGAGAGAGAGGGAGAGAGAGGGAGGGAGGGAGAGAGAGAGAGAGAGAGAGAGAGAGAGAGAAAGAAACATCAATGATGAGAGAGAATCATTGATCGGCTGCCTCCTTCCCCCCTCCTCCCCCCACTGGGGATCGAGCCCGCAACCCAGGCATGTGCCCTGACCGGGAATCGGACCTGGGACCTTTCAGTCTGCAGGCCGACGCTCTATCCACTGAGCTAAACCAGCTAGGGCCACGATTATTTCTTTAGGGAAAATTACTAGAAGTGGAATCCCTGGGTGAGGGGCGACAGGGTGGGTGTTTTAAAACCGTCCATATTATGTTGCCCGTCTTTGGCACACCTGCCTGGCCGCTTTCTTACCTCAGCAGTGCCCGGTCCTCTGCCCCAAGTGGCGACTCGTGCCAGCACCATGTCCTGAGGTCGGGTGCCCCGTAGCCCCTGGTCCTCCTGATCGTCACCTTCGGAGTTCGAGGCTGAGCGTCCACTCGCTAGATGTGTCCGGATGCCGCTCTCTCAGGTATCCAGCCACGGGCAGCTCCCATGCCCTTCTGCAGCCTCATCCCACCTCCATGCACCCAGCACATATCCCTCGCCGCTTCTAGCTCATCGGGCGCCTTCCCCTGATGTTCAGCGTGGAGAGAAGTCCCGTCTCCTTGGTATTCCGTGGAGCGTCTCCCCGGGAGCCTGGGAGGGGGGCAGGTGGAGGCCGTGTCTGTACCGACGTCTTGCCTGGAGGCTTCCCCTTTGCTTTCTCACTGGCCCTTAGATTCGGAAAATGTTCCCAGTCGTGGGTGTCTGGGGAAAATACGGTCGTAACTATTAAGACTGAGGGATGAGGATGGACAGGTGAGTGCGGATGGAAAGCTTCAGTGATCGTGCGAAGCTGGGAAGGTTGGGTTTCCCTGTTGGGCTCCTTTTGCTCAGCAGTGCCCCCGCAAAGCCCCTGATTGTGACATAAAGAAATCTGGGTCAAAGCAGCCCCGGTGACACACTGGGCGATCAAACCAAGGAAGTAAAGGCTGGGTTAAATGTAGAGGACCAACCGTCCGCGTGCGTCAGGAGGGAGGGGATCTCAGGATGAGAGATTTCAGTGTTAAAATCAAGAAAGTCCTGGGCATGAATGGGTCACCGTAGCCCTAAGTAAGCCTTTGCATCTGCGGTCTTTTTAAAAAATATATATGTATATTTACTGATTTCAGAGAGGAAGGGAGAGGGAGAGAGATAGAAACATCAATGATGAGAGAGAATCATGAATCAGCTGCCTCCTACACGCTGCACACTGGGGATCGAGCCTGCAACCCAGGCATGTGTCCTGACCGGGAATCGAACCATGACCTCCTAGTTCATAGGTCAGTGCTCAACCGCTGAGCCACACCAGCCAAGTGCATCTGTGGTCTTTTATATGTGAGATGAGATGTCGTGCTACGGTGACCGTCCGGACTTCACCCACCGATGGAGCACGCAGCGTTTACCAGCAAACCGCGGGAGCTGCTTGTCTATTTGTTTTGTCGAATCCCTTCTACAAGCTCTGATTCCACTTGAGAACGGAGTCAGCCAGTTTGTAGCTATATATTCTGAGATAACTCTGGCAAACAGACATTTTTTTTTTTTCATGTTTTCTTTCTAAAAATTATGGGTCATCTTTTAAAGTCAGGTGTGTCTTTAGTACATCCCTTGAGAAATAACCATCCATGAAGCTGGAGCCACTTTTAGAGACTTAGAGTTTTAGATAAATTAGAAGGTCATAAGTGAAAATTGCAGGGTTGTTTCTGAAAGTCACAAAGGATGAGAGACCGAGGGGAGCAATGGAGAGTTCTTTTTATTAGAGAGTTGCCAAGGATTTAAATAAAGTTCCAAGCCTCCGAGTATTACTGCGAACGTTGTGTTTGCCACGTGGCCTCCGCCAGGTCACTTGCCCCGCAGCGGAACAGAAGCACTTTACACATCTGTTCACTGAGATGATTTTTCCTCTTAAGATGTCTGTGGATCCTGGTATTTTCATTTATTGATTTAGGGAGGAAGAGAGAGAAAGAGAATGACAGAGAGAGGGAGGGGGGGAGAAAGAGAGAGAGATACATCGCTTTGTAGTTCCGCTTATTTCCACATTTATTGGTTGATTCTTGTATGGGCCCTGACGGGGGATTGAACCAGCAACCTTGGTGTATCGGGGCGACACTCTAACCTACTGAACTACCCAGCCAGGGCTTCAGCTTTAAGTGACGTTGGTAGGACATGCGTTCTGAGCCCTTTACTTTTAATCTGTACGTGTCTTTGTATTTCAGGTGAGTTTCTTATTGCCGGCAGAGAGCTGGCTCTTGTTGTTTCATCCCATCGGTCTTTTAATTGGTATGTTTAGAGCATTGTTGTTTCATGTCATTGTTGATATAGCTGGGTTCATATCTACCTTATTTGTTAATGTTTTAAATGTTGCCCTTGTTCTTTGTTCTTATTTATGTATTTAGTTTTGGCCATCATTTTCTGCCCCCCCCCCCCAAAAAAAATTCTTTTTCTGTTATCCATCTCCTGACACTCAAGTTACTGTATGTTAATCTGCTTCATATTGTCTTATAGGTCATAGATGTTCTTTCTTTCTTTCCCTTGGTTGGCTCTTTTCTCTGTATGCTTCATTTGGGGTAGTTTCTATTTCTGTGTATTCCAGTTCACTGATATTTCCTTCGTAGTGTCTAAAGTGCTATAAATCTCATTCAATGTGTTATTTTATTTCAGAAATGGTATTTTTCCTTTTTAAAAAAATAATATTTTTATTGATTTCAGAGAGGAAGGAAGAGGGAGAGAGAGAAAGAAACACCCATGATGAGAGAGAATCATGGTAGGTTGCCTCGTGCAAGTCCCCCACTGGGGATTGAGCTCACAACCCGGGCATGTGCCCTTGACCGGAATTAAACCTGGGACCTTTCAGTTCGCAGGCCGACGCTCTATCCACTGAGCCACACCGGCTAGGGCTATTTTTTCTTTTTGAAGCTTCATTTTATTTATATATAAAAGATACCTATATGAGAAAAAGATGCATCTATCTTATGTATTCTCTATCATATGCCTTTCATTTCTCTCTTAGGTTAATTTTTGAATGGATACTGGACATTGCAAATTTTAATTGCTGGGTGTCTGATTTTGTTAAATTCTTTTAAATAGTGTTAGCCTTCACTCTAATGAGTAATTTAATTATCTGGAAAAAGTTCAGATTTCTTAAGGCTTGCTGTTAAGCTGTGAGGTGCATCTCCAGCAGCCTTTGCCCTCAGCTGACATGTAAGGTGTCCAGATAAGAAGCGTCTGTTCTCTAAATGGAACGCCCGTGTTGCTGGGGAACAGTGCTGTTCACGTCTCTCCTTTGCAGTACCGGAAGTGCCGTCCCAGGTGGAGCTGGTTCCGGTTTTGCCTGACATGTGGCTTCATTCCTTAGAATACACAACTACTTGGCCATTGTTGTTTTTACCCCCGCTGCCTGTGGTTTTAGGCACATTCTCCCGCTGATGAACTCACCACCTCCTCCATCCCATAGGCTTGAGTTGTGTTCTGAGAGCCAGCGCTTTGCAACATGCCGAGCTGGTTGGTTTGTTGCCTGGAAAATTGCTAAGGGTAAACTTGATGCTTGGCTTGGGAAGAGAAAGAAGCAGATTTTTCAGATGAAAGTTACTCGACCCCAAATGGCATGAAAGAATTTCAGCCTCTTCTGAAATCATGGGTACAATCAGATCTGTCATGAGGAAGGATGAAGTTCAACCCATGCATTTTTCACTTGGTGGGGAGTGGCTCTCCTAAGACTACAAGTATGGAAGGAAACCAGACGTCGCGGTTGTTAAGGACGGTCCTGGTGTGCACCTGTCGTCCTGGGATAATTATTAATAACATCCCGTCTCACTCTTAAAAATGTCATGGTTTTGTTGGCCATTTTTTAAATAAAGAATGGTTTAAAGACTACAAAGTAATGCCGTTGTTTGAATGGTGGATTTACTGTTTACTTTGTATTTTGGTTAAATAGTATATCGTGACTAGTAAATGTGTGTGTGTGGTTTTGTTTTGAATTTTTGGTATTTTTCCTGCAGATGACCTCAATGCCACCCACCAGCACTGCGTTTTGGCTGGCTTACCACCTCGGTTTAGTTCCACCCACCGAGTGGCAGAGGTAAGCGTAAATAAAAATGTGATTCAGACTTAATTGGATGTGGCAGAAGTGGTCGAATGAGCCATTTATCATAGAACTTTGGAAGAGCGCTTGATAGGAAAATTGCTTCCATCTACCTCGACTCCAGTCTCTGTTTACTTGCTTTTTTAGCTTTGAGTTGCGTTGGATGGGTTTAGGGAGTGTATTCACGGCGTGGGATAAGTGTATTTTGCTTCTTTGGGGTTATATTTCTTGGCGAAGGTAAGTGCCCTTGGCAGGTGTTGCTAGTTGGAGGAGGCGTTCGTGCCTGTCAAGGTCAAGGGCAGGAGATGGCCAGAAGGAAGTGGGGTGGGTCTGTGTGCGTGTGCGTGTGCTAGCTGTGACTGGGCTCTGACATTTCCCTTACCTCTTGGTCAGGCTCCTGGCCATGGGGATGTCAGTGAAGGGGAGAGTGACAGAGGTGCCAGGGAATGTCTGAGCTCCCCAGGCGTGCTCATCACCCAGGCTGTACTGCTAAGTTCTGCCACCACGTGGAGTGGCTGGTGGTCAGATGACCGGACTAGTTGGGTATGGAAACTGAAGAGATGAGGAAAACCCTTAGTCATCACCCAGGGGTGCTGTGTGCTTCGTTAGGAAGGGGTCCAGAGAACAGAGGAGGAGCCCTGAAAAGGATGGGAAGTTGACCTCTTTATTATACCAAAGTGTGAGAATGGGGGCTGGGGGGGGGCGGGGGGAGTAGGGAGGAGGGGGGGAGGAGGTGGAAGGGATACAACAAAGTGGCAGGGAATACAAGACCTTTTCAGCGCAGGCCATGTGGCTCAGTGGTTGAGCATTGACCTGTGAACCAGGAGGTCATGATTCGATTCCCGGTCAGGGCACATGCCCGGGTTGTGGGCTCGATCCCCAGTAGGGGGCGTGCAGGAGGCAGCTGATCCATGATTCTCTCTCTCTCTCCCTTCCTCTCTGAAGTTTTAAATATACATTTAAAAGCCCTTTTCAGTCCTGAGACCCCACAGGCAGTGTCCTGTCTTTGGTAATCAAGCAGCTTTTCCGGGGGACTGGCCATGTTGCTCTGTGGCAGGGAGGGTGTGAGTGTCTATTTCAGTCAAGATGCGCGCACACCCTTCAAGCGCTCTTTCTCCGTTTTCTCCTTATCTTCCCATCCTCTCTCTTCCGTTCACTCGTCCTCCTAAGTATTTGACACTCAGGTCGTTTGGCTGTTGTCAGTAATGCTGTGAAGAGGAATGGTTGACCCGTTTGGTGTCCTCACGCCGCTTACCGTGTGAGAGTGGGTGTCGTGCAGAATAGAGCACAGCACCCAGCATGAGGCTTCCTGGGTGAGGGGACCCGCAGGCTTCACCATGTAGGGATGAGGGGACTTTAGGGCAGGTGAGGACAGCTACTGGGCGAGGATGCGTGATTGGGGCGGGGCGCAGGTACCTGGGGGGATTGAGTGGCTGCGCTTGAACTGGATACCGTGATGCTCTAAAGGCAGGGTTAGCAGGTGAGGCTGGTTCCTGAGTGAGTCCAGAGTGCGAAAGAGCTGGAATATCAGATTAGACTTTATTAGATTGCACTTAAATTGGTTGGGCTTTACTCGTAATCTGGATTTCTGGTTCTCTCTGCAGTGCTCGACGGGGACCCTGGATTACATCTTGCAGCGCTGCCAGCTGGCTCTGCAGAATGTCGGCGATGTGACCGATAGTGGGGGTGTCTCCCTGAAGTCCTTGGAGCCTGCAGTTTTGAAACAAGGAGAAGAAATCCACAACGAGGTGAGGGTTTTAAAGAACTGTGGAGGGTCTAGGTCCCTTCGTACGCGCAGACTCGCAAGCTAAGCTGCCATCGTTTCAGGCGAGTGTAAGACATGCAGCTCCCAGAGACAAGGGCAGTTGATTACTTACAACAACAGCCGTCTCCAGAGTATCAGCCTTTCCGTGCCAGGCCTCCAAGCCTCTGTTCCCACAGGGCAGGGCAAAGCGGGCCAGGTAGCATGTGCACGGGGAGGGATTGCATTATAGAAGGGGCAACCGAGCTGAGGGAGCCCGAGTCTTTTATAACAGGCAGTGAGCATGCCTGACCTTTGCACCAGATCAAGACTCCGTCTTTATCCTCTCAGTCTGTCAGCAAACCCGCCCTTTGTTCCGGAGGGAGGAACAATGTCTTACAAGCCCATACAGACGTCTATATAGACATCCTTGCGATGAGAACCTGAAACAAGGGGCAGCCAGGTCCTTGCCAACAACGCAGAAACACAGGAGACCCATGAAGAACAGTTTCCCAGCAAATCTGATGGGGATTGAGGGAGGAGCATAGAGCACGTGTCAGTGCCTTGCTCTCTGTTCATTAGTTCCGGTTCTGAAGTCTGTGAGACCCACAGGTCTGGATCTCATGAGTCAGTTTTGCAAACTTTACTGTTCTCATTAGTACCCTTTCAATTTCTTCTTCATCTTTGGACAGTGTGTATGTGTGTGTGTTTATCTATTTAATATGTCTTTTAAATCACCTCATCTTTACATGGATACATGTCTTTATGGAGGAAGCGTTACATTTCCACTGTAAGTGGAAAGCCAGTGTCACCAGCCAAAGGAGAAAGGGACCAGAAAAACGTAGCCAGTGAAAACAGCAGTGTCATTAAATTCCGGCAGCTGGTCTTGCCAGGAGAAGGCTCTCAGCCTAAAGTCTTCATTCTTTATGTTAAGAAGGGAAATTAGGGCACAATTTCATACATTTTCTAAAAGTCATTGAATTCTGCACTTGAAACGGGTGAATTTTATGGCAGGTAATTTACACCTCAAAACAAAACAAAACACACACAACAAAAAACCAACAACAACAACCCAACTATTAAAAAGAGAAAAGAGTTTACCAAGTGGTAGAAAATTATTGAAGATCATCATCAGCCTGAGACTTTCTTTTCAGTGTAACTGGAAGGATTGATGGAGAATTTGGATTGATGGAGAATTTGGATTGATGGAGAATTTGGATTGATGGAGAATTTGGGATACAGGAATGCTCTTATTGATTTTCCCCCCAATAAATAATAACTGAACTGTGCCAGGTACTCTTCTGGGCGCTTTAGGATAGATTGGTAAAGAAAGTAGACATTCTGGTGCAGGGAGGTGACAATAAAGATAGCACATTGGTTAGTTACTCAGTATGTTAGATATATGTAACTGCTATAAAACTCCAATCAGAGCAAGGTGATAGAGAATGAGGTAAGTGGAGAACATCCACTGAGAAGGCATCCTTTGAGCAGAGACTTGAAGGAGGTGAGGGACTGAGCCTGGTGGCTATCTGAGGAACAGCGTTTGGGAAGAGGGGAACAGCCAGTGCGAAGACAGTGTTCAGGTCTAGTTAAGGGATGGTCTGATTTGAGTGGCAGGAGTGAGGCTGTGAGTTCTAGGAGATGGGGTCCCAGAGATGGTACCTTGAAGGTTTGAAGGACCCTAGGAAGGACAGGGACTTCCCTTCTCACAGCTTGGGAAACGTTGCCATCATTTGCAGACCCCAAGGCAAAGGAATCCTGCCTTTCGGGGAAACAAGAACTGCTCCTAAGCCAAGCCAAGCCCAGGACTGACTCTTTCCTTCATGGTGCCTGGGCACTGTCCCACCTTCTCTCCCATCTGTCCTTGCCAGAGACGCTGCTGATAGCTGGAACGGTAGGCCCTGGTGACCACACGGAATTAGACTTGGGAGCAAAGTTATGTCTTTCTCCACATTCGCAGTGAAGAAAGTTTTATCTAGAAGGGTAGTTATTTCCTTCTCTAAACACCTTGCCGTTTTAGGAATTGGACTAGCAGAATGGACACCCTCGTTCCCATGCATATGGGCTATTTTCTTCCCTGTCTTCTCTGGTCTTCGTCTGTGACTCTGATGTTTTGTTATCCCCAACGGATGGGGGAAATCTATAAAATCACAGTGTTTATCTGGAATATTGTCATCTGAACACATCTGCTGCAGAAAGTGGCCGGCTGCTTTTGACATTGTATATGTTAGCGACGTGGGGCAGCGATTGATCAGAAGCCTCACTGCTCTGTGGCTAGCCTACGATTGGACGGAGGGAGAGAACCTGCATCTAAATAGCGTGCGTTCCAGTCTTCTCCACCCCCCAGTCTTTCATTCTCAAGGCCATCTCCTTACTTAGGAATTAAGTCCATATGTCCGGGCACACCGTCAGACACTCTTCTTTCTCCGGCCAAGTTGGCCTGGGATTAAGCGCTCGCAGCTCAGTCTCTGCCGTGTCCCGTTGTGAAAGCATGAAAGTCCGTAATAGCTACTCCGGGTCCTGGTGGTTTGCTTTGCCCTGTCTTAAAGGCCGGGTGCCCTTGCTGGACGAATGAGAGGGCCACAGCTTTGGTTTGATGTGCTGCAGGCTTTCGGGCTGTGTGGGCTTAGAGGTGGCTTGTTTTCCTTGTCTTAGATGGTTTCTAGCTAAGCAGTTTGGGAACTTTGGGATTGGAACCAAATCCACAAGAAGATAGATATTTTTTGCAACTTAACATGCTTAGAAAAGATTTCTGTTATAAGCAGGATTTTCCTCTGTGTTCTTTAAAATATATATATTATTATTTGTTTCAGAGAGAGAGGGAGAGAGGGATAGAAATATCAATGATGGGAGAGAATCATGGATCGGCTGCTTCCTGCCATCTGAACCTCTATTCTGGGTTCTCACCTTTGGTTTTGTGCAATGTCTACCCCACAGCTCTCCTTTCTCATTCCCAGAGTTTGGGGGTGGCGGAGGGGTAAGCGGGGGGACACAATCCAGCATTTAAAAAAAATATTTTTTTCTAACTCCAATTCTGAATCAAGAAGCTAGAATATTTTTTTCCTCCTTAATTAATTTTAAGAAAGGAGCCAGCAGCTTCTCTTGGCAGTGGGGGAACTGGTGAGGGTGGCATTTGATTACAATCCTGTAATATTTTTCTCTCCACAACATGGAGATGAAAAGGTCGGGTTGTGGAGTGGGATGAACGCATGCCAGTGGATCTGATGCCCACCAGATTGTATCTCATGGGCAGTTCTTTCCTGCCCGGATAGAGCTCTGTTGGGAGTAAGTGGCCGGCTTCGTGAGGGAGGCGTGGGCACGAATGGGCATGGAGCTTGGACATTTTCCTGTTCAGGAAACATGGCTGCGATCCTTGAAGTCCTAGGCCTTGTGCCCTGTTCACTTCCTATTCTCGGCATCTAGCCAGCGCCTGGCATGTCGTAGGTCGTGTGTTATTAACCCACTTACGCCTCACCGCAAACCTACGTGGTCATTGTTTACCGTAGTAGGGTCGTAGGAAAGAAAGGGTATTGTTAGTGTTTGTGCTGCTGTCTGTACCTGTTGTCATCTGCCCTACGTTGAAAAGTGACCATTTGTGTGGCTCCGTGGTGCTGATGTCTGCGTGCCTCCGTAGTTAGCTTTATGCTGTTTAGTCGTATGGTGGTATGGGGTAGCATTTATCACCAGCTCTTCCTGGCCCGCAGTGAACTTCATTGTTTATTTCATTTTTTACTTATTTATTTAAAATATTTTTTATTGATTTTTTTAGAGAGAGAGGAAGAAAGAGACAGAAACATCGATGAGAGAAAAACATCATCGATCAGCTGCCTCCTCCACACACGCCCCCTACTGGGGATCGAGCCCACAACCCGGACGTGTGCCCTGACCAGGAATCAAACCGGTGACTTCTTGGTTCCTGGGTTGGTGCTCAACCACTGAGCCGGCCGGGCACTTCTTTGTTTGTTTTAAATCTAAGAAACTTCAAATGGATATCTCGGCATATGTGTCTGTATTTTACTCTTCATGCTACTCTCTAAGAAAGATATCGAATAAAAGCATACTTTGATGATACCTTTCCCATCACACGTAGTGCAGGCTGCCGCACACTCTAGGACAGTGGTTCTCAACCTTCCTAATGCCGCGACCCTTTAATACAGTTCCTCATGTTGTGGTGACCCCCAACCATCAAATTATTTTCATTGCTACTTCATAACTGTAATTTTGCTACTGTTGTGAATCGTCATGTAAATATCTGATAGGCAGGATGTATTTTCATTGTTACACATTGAACATAATTAAAGCATAGTGATTAATCACAAAAACAGTATGTAATTATATATGTGTTTTCCGATGGTCTTAGGCGATCCCTGTGGAAGGGTCGTTTGACCCCCAAAGGGGTCGCGACCCACAGGTTGAGAACCGCTGCTCTAGGATCTCAGTATTTGTAGTTGTAATTGCAAATCCCTCCCCAGCCTGGGCTGGGCCGTCTCCCTGAGCATGGAGACGACCTTCCCCTGGCTTTGCAGAAACACTCCGGAGGCTGCAGGACTGCGCAGGCCGGGCTCCTCTTCCTCCTCCCCCTCCTCCTCCTCCTCCTCCTCCTCCTCTTCTTCCTCCGCTGTGAAGTTCCTGCAGGAGGACCGAGTGACGAAGTCCTTGTCCTTGTCCGCCTGTCACAAGGGCCTTGTAACCGCCACCTGGTCTTTGCCGTCCGCAGGTGGAGTTCGAGTGGCTGAGACAGTTTTGGTTCCAAGGCAGTCGACCCCGGAAGTGCACCGACTGGTGGTGCCAGCCCATGGCTCAGCTGGAGGAGATGTGGCGGAAGATGGAAGGCGTGGTAAGTCTGAGGGGCCCGCCGCCAGTGTCCTGGGAGGTGCGCGTGTAAATTCTCCGCGGCCCGATTTGCATCAGTAAATCCATGTGTCACTCTTCTGGATGACTGAGTTAGGCTACTTTCAGGAAGGTAACGGGACAGCCAGGACCTTGTCAGTGTGACCTCGGTTCAGTGGAATGAACGTCCTTTGAACATCTCCTTCCCATAAGGCATTGTGTTAGACCCTCGAGGAAGTAAGGATGCGGGGAGAACAGTGTAACAGCAGCACCTAAAATGTATCTGCCCTTTATAGGCACAAGCATCATTCAGAGGGGTTTCCCTCTATTAACTTTTAAGCGTCTTCCAACAGTCCGTGAGCCTAGAAACTGGTGAGCCTTCATTTCTGGATGGAAAACCGAGGCCTAGAGAAATGAGTGCCTCGCCCAAGGCCCCCCGGCGCCCAGGGCCCCCAGCCAGCGGCCTTGCGGGATGGAAACCCCGGCATCCCTGCTCTGCAGCTTGTGCCCGGAACCATCCCCTGGGGTGGGACAAGGAGGGAGACATGGATAGCGCCAGGTGTTGCATTAGCTTACGTGAAACCCTGTGATAGAGGTTTTCGAAAGATCACAGACCACAGACCAGAGGCGGGAGGACTGGATTCAGACCACGGGGGCTGGCACTGCTGTGAAACGGCTGATGTGGCTTTTGGGGAGCTTGGATGGGGAGGCATAGGGTCAGATCCGGCACGTGGAGGGGAATTCAGGCTCCAGCAACTGCACAAACAGATCAGAAGTGGGAGTGTGTCGGGGCGGGCGCGGGAGGGAGGCGGGTAGCATGAGACAAGGAATTCAGGGGACGTGGTGGGAAAGGTAGCGGGAAGGTGTAGAGGCCTCATGGAGGGCTTGAATCAGGTCTTCATTGAACTAATAGTAATCATGGCAAATACGTGCATAGCAAATTACTAATAGTAATCATAGCAAAAACCGAGGCCACACATGCTAAGTATGGGGCACTTCTAAACGCTTCATACATAAGTTATTTAGCTTGTAGGACAGCCCCATAAAGCAGGTGTCACTTTCCTCTGACAATCGAGGAGACCAAAGCACAAAAGGGCCACAAGGTCATTGACTCCAAGTGGGGAGCTGGGGTTTGAACTCAGGGAGGCCGGCTCCAGGGTCATGCCCTTCAGCGCCTCACCGTCCCGCCTCCGTGCAGTGGAACTCAGAGCGCAGCGGGAGAGTGACAGAAGCCTGCCAGCCCGTTGAGATAGCGCCCCTGCACCGACGATGAAATGTGCCGGAAACAGTGAACTCACCTGCAAAAACGGGTCGTGATTGCTAACCTCCATTGGCTAATCACGAAGATAGCACGTCGCCACCCTGGAGGGGCCCCGGGTGGAAGGTCTGGGTCAGAATCCAGAAGTCCCTGCTTTCCAGACGGCTCCTCAGATCTGTACACCAGGCTGTCCGTGGAGGGCTGTCTGGGGAAGGATGCTGTAACCCTGCTCGTGAGTCCTGAGAGCGTCACAGACATGAGGCTCTTGGAAGAAAGGAACCCGTTCAAAATGGGGCGTCGTAAACCCGCGCTGGAGGTGATGAGAAGTCCATGCCTCCATCTCCCCCCAAGTTCTGTGGGCAACATTAGCCTGTGTAGCCTGCGCTCCGTTTCTATGGGATGGGTATGTTTATGGGGTGGATATTTTTATGGGGTGGATATATAAAGGCAGCTTCACTTTCAGGCCTTTTTAAATTTTTTTTTATTATTTTTTATTTTTATCCTGGCTTCATCCGTGTACATCCGAGTTTGAACTTCTTTATTTGCTGAACCTTGACTCTGAGACTTCAGTTTGGCTTTGGGATTGTAAGCGGACAACTCTGTAAATTACAATTGGCGGATGAATAAGAAAGGAACGCACTGATTTTTTTTTTTTTAACGATATCTTTATTAATTTCAGAAGGGAAGGGAGAGGGAGTGAGAGAGAGAAACATCAATGATGAGAGAGAATCATGGATCGGCTGCCTCCTGCACGCCCCTCACTGGGGATCAAGCCTGCAACCCAGGGAATCGAACCCTGACCCCCTGGTTCACAGGTCGACGCTCAACCACTGAGCTACTACGCCGGCTGGGCAGAACTCACTGATTTTGTTCAAAATGTTTTGCAGTTGCTTTTGCTCAAGATTTTGTTTTTTAAAGTAAAATCTTTGGTCTTGTGAGCTTGCCAGTAATGGCTCCTGTTGAATTCATCTAAGAAATTTCGTTAGGATGGTTGTATTTTTCAATTTTGAGGCGATGCCGCATGAGATGGAGTATCTGCTATGTACTTTATAAGGCTCGTGTAGAAGACACTGAAGGAGAAGAGCAGTCCTGGGACTAATGCAGGCGAGCTCCCCGCTGTGGGCGTGGCATTGCTGAGCCTTCCCAGGGTGATGAATGGCCCCACTGTCTACCTCAAGCCCCAGGACGATCACTATCAGCAGAGGGGAGATTGGGGCCAAGATAAAAGGGACGGTCCTTCTAAATTAAATCGAAGCGTTGCTTCCAGCCTTTTTTAAAATGACTTTGAACAGATTCATAATAACTTATTTTTGCGGTTAGAGGAGAATGATCCTTGGAAACGTCCACGCTTCCGTGGTTCTGTTTGCGCAGGACCATCTGGTATTTGTGTACTTGGCCCTGGCCCGTTCCATTCCTGCTTTGCACCCAGCCCGCCTCCTCTTTTCCAGTGGCAAGCAGTAGGGGGCAGTGTTGAGCTACCAGTCGGAGGCCCCCAGATGCTGCTTGCCTTTCAGGAAAATGCATACAAATGTACCAGTAACTGTCGAGAATTATCCCTGTTGCTCCACGTTAGCTGTAATCTCCCAGATTCCATAACACAGGAAATCAGTTGTGGGTTAACAAATTCAACAGCAATTTAACATAAAAAGTGCAGAGTTTGGTGCACATTTGGATCCTATAGAATTAGACTAATCGAAACGGCATTTCTGAGCGCGCTCACGTGGCTTCCAGGGAATATGCTAGTCAAACTTATTATCCTTTTAGACAAATGATTCTTCTTTATCTTTATGCTTTTTTTTTTTGAATCGTAAAATCACGTGTGTGTGTGTGTGTGTGTGTGTGTTGTAGAAAGACTTCTCTGATTAACATGGCATGGGTCTCTTTCGGCGAGAAAATAAAACAGAAAACCCCAGGCCATGTGTACATTACGGTTCCCCTCTGCTTGCGAGTCAGGCCACCTCGGGCAGCCCTTGCGTCAGCGAAGAGCCTGGCGCTGGAATTTCTCTCTGTCTTTGTGTCCTTTTCCCCCCCAACTTTGTAGTTGGAAGGCGCGGTCTCAGGTAAGACAGAGAAGAATGGAGAGTGAGCTTTGAAACCGCGTCGCTGCCGTGACCGGTGATTGCCTCACGTGTCCTAACCCGTCACCTGTTTCAGGAAGTCGAGTCAGCTGTCTGCGAGGTCCCTGGCCGCTGCTGCCTGCGTTCGGGTCGAGCCAGCACCAGGGTTTTGGTGTGTGTGTGTGTTTTTTTATGTTGGTTTTTTTTTTTATCACACTGTTTATTCTTGCCATTCTCTCCCCGAGGATAGTTTTACTCTCCGCACCTTCTTGTGATGTAAATGTGAACCCTTCGATTTGAATGGCATTCTGATAAAATATCGCATCTCCCTTGAATATTACCTCGCGGATTAACCCCAAAGCAACACGAGGCTGTCTTCCAGCCCAGGAATTGAGCCTAACCTTTCGCTCTGTCCTCAGGAAGGCATCGTACCCCCGTACCCCTATTCAAATATGTGTATCTCATGTGTTTTTTCTAAGTCAGCCCCCACCCCACAGGCAGAAGTCCCGTGTGATGAGCAGACTCCCCGGGATAAGAGAGCGTTACCATTTGAAAGGAACCTCGCCAGCCTGGCTCGCTGGGTAAAGAGAAATCTGAAAAGCCGGGGTCTCCTGTGAGGCCAGGGCGCCGGGCTGCAGCCCGCGATGTAACGGATAGGCCGTGTGTCTCGCAGGGGCCGGTATCGCGCGCCGCCAAACTGACATTTATTTCACCTCTGAAATGTTTCAACGCTGTCAGCTTCACAGGGACACAGAAGAGAGTGCTGGGTGCGGTGTCCTTTACACCGATGGCATTTATTCATCTCCTTTCGGCCGTACACACAGTTCTTTTCAAAGCTCAATTTGCTATAATCCACTGGCAATATTCTAGAAGAGGTTCCGGAGCAAACACTTGCAGGCGGCTGATGATTTCTAAACCGGAGGGATGTCTTTGTTACTCCTCTTTTCAGGGATGGGAGTCGGTGCTGAAGGCTCTGAATGTTTCGAGTTGCTTTTCCTAGCCCCACAGTGCCCTGGGCCGGGGAGGAGCAAGGCCGTTCCGTGGCCATCGGCCTCCCTAGCCCCTGTTGACTTCGGTGGGGAGGAGCCCAGGCTGGATTATTTAATGTATCCGCTTGGAAGCCGTGTCATTACGTGAGGTGGGCCACAGGCTGCGTCTCCTTCTCCCCGTTTCTGCTCTGACTTTGGTGCAGGAGAGAAGCGGGAGACGTGGAAAACGAGTAGGTGTTTTATTTCATCCCGTTCCCCGTTCCTCGTTGTGAAAAGTTTTAAGAGAGAAAGGCACTCAGGAATGTGAAGGCCGTCCTTTACGAGTCCGTGGCCATAGTTTAATTTCAGGATGAGTCATGCCTTTTTCCCTCGCCATGCGGCCCGCGTAAACCTTCTGGAAAAGCTCACGCCCGGAGCCTGCCCACTGTCTGGTGAGCCCTTCTCAGTGCAGGTTATGAGGTCGGGGGGGGGGGGGGGGCAGGGGGGTGCGGGGGGAGCGAGCCGAGGAGCCGCTTGTTTGTTTTTGGAGCGATTAATGAAGCTATCAGCACGGCGTTTGAGATCGAAATCTTGGTAGCTGAAGAGAAGAACAAGGCTGCTGTCTCACATACCGAAACACATCAGAGTGCGCTGGTCTTGGCTATCACATTATAGTTCAGCTAGCCAAGTTCACTTCAAACTTTCTTTAAGGTTGAAAGATTTT